AAAATGTATGTACCCAAGATAACAGAGAAAGAGATAAGATTTTAAACTACAAATCTCCAAATGTTCAAAAGCCATGAAATTAAAGCAAAATTCTTTACCTTCCACTAAAATTTCTGTAAGATTAAAGAACACCAAGCACCCTTACAAAGTTAACTCTCTGCTTATTTATCTAATGAACAGGAAAGAGTAACATGAAAAAATAATGTCAAAAGATAAGGCAAAAAACTTATTTAGGCCAATGATTTAATCTATTTTTTATAAAGCCCATTTTGCCAGCTGTGTGGAATTCTCCATTGGCAATAATCTCTTCCTGCTCCCTTTTTGCTCTTCCCTGTATAACAAAGGATGAAAGCCTGACAACTATATTACCCAAACTTTTTTGCTATCAGGGTCTAGTTATAATTTAGGTTCTACCAATAATATTCACTTGTACCAGATTTGGAAAGCAGAGGGGAGGCAGAGTTCATTTTTTCTCTGGCCATGGAGGCAACTAACGTGTAGGCTTTGGCAGATGTGAGTTTTGGCAGTACTAGACATTGTATTCCAATGCGAGTAAGCAGCTTGGGGACTTTGAGGTAACTATGACATTAGTAATGATTGCCTGTAGCCTCCAGCAGTACTACCAACAAATAAAGTTGCTATGATAGGTGAACAAAAGGTGAGTGGCCCAGAGAAAGACACACTGGATAATCAGAGACTCTCAATGTCAGAGCTCAAGCTCATTTAGACTAACCCTCATTATTTTATAGATGAAAACAGTCTCTTAATGGCTAAAAGCCCATGTTTCTCAATATCCTTTTAATGTACTTTAGTACATACTGCTTCCAATTAGTTTCCAAGTAATCAAATAGTTAAGGCGTTCCATCAGCATATAACCAGGTAAACCGGTGAAACACATCCCATCCCAAAATGAAACGTCTCGATTCTTACAGCTACTCTGTTTCTCTGCTTCCATTAATGGGGATCATCCTGAAGTAGTTTTCTCATTCTATTTTTACTTCCTGAACCCACATCAATCAGTCCTTTGTCATTACCACTCTGCAATGAGACAACTTGCATCAGTCACTTGTTGATGCTAAGTCACTAAATCACGTACAATTCTTTTGCTAAGCCATGGACTGTAGCCTGTCTGGCTCCTCTGTCCATGGGATTTCCCAGGCAAGAATGCTGGCATGGGTTGCCATTTCCTAGTCCAGGGGATCTTTCCAACCCACGGATCAAACCCACGCATGTCCTGCTTGGCAGGTGGATTCTTTATCACTGAGCCACCTGGGAAACACTTCAAAGTCACTAACAAGTTCTAATAATCAAATCCAATGGTAATTTCTCAATAACAGTAAATCACATCCTCTTCTCTAAAATCTTTCTTTGCTTGGGTTTTTGGACACAACTATCCTACATTTTTTTCCTATTCTACTGGTCAGTCACTCCTCTTCCTTCTCAAGTGCTGACATTTGCTTGCCTTTCAGCCTCTGACACTGAAGTTGTTCCAAGATTCAGTTCCTTACCTCTTTTCTTTTCACTTTCTCTCTAGGTGACATCATCCCAAATTAAACTTTCAGTCTCAGCCTCTCCTCCCAACTCCAGAACTGGGTATCTGACCGCCCACTTGATCTTCCCACTCGAATGTCTGACAGCCATCTCACCCGTAGTACATTTGAAACTCCTGTTTATTGCCTTCAATTCCTCTTTCCAGTCTCAGTCTCAGCAAATGGCATCACCATTCACCCAGCAACTACAGCACAGGAATTACCATCAATTCCTTTCTATGTTATAATAGCAAATTCTATCAGCTATACTTTCAGAATATATTTGGCCTTCAAGTACCTTCCTCCACCTTCCTCTCTACCACACAAGTATAGGCTGCAATGATCTCTCACCTAGACTACCAAGATGGCTTAACTGGTCTCTGCATTCACTCATGGGTTCCCTGCTATGGTCTACTCTATGTAGCAGATCAAGTCACAGCCTTGCTCAATCCTCTCAGGGCTATCCTCTAACACCTAGGATGAAAATCAAAGTTCTCACCACTGTTTATGAGATTTGGTATCATTTAGCCTCCTCTGTCTCTCTGACATCATTTATGACTGAAAGTGAAAGGACCTGAAAGTGAAGTCGCTCAGTCGTGTCCGACTCTTTGCGATCCCATGGACTGTAGCTTGCCATGCTCTTCTATACATGGGATTTTCCAGGCAAGAATGCTGGAGTGGGTTGCCATTTCCTTCTTTAGGGGATCTTTCTGACCCAGGGATAGAACCTGGGTCTTCTGCACTGCAGGCAGACTCTTCACTGTCTGCTCCACCAAGGACGCTTTTAATCCAGCTTTATTCCACTTCTTGATGTTCTCAAATATGTAAACTGTTTCCTCCTGAGGGTCACTAATACTTTCTATTCTCTTGCTTTGGAAGCTATCTTTCCAGGTTTTCTCCTAGATCTTTATATTATTTGCTCCTCCATTTTCTGCCTATGGCAAAAGCAGTGTTCTCACCAAAACCCTCTTCTTCCCAGGCATATAGGAAAACCACATTTGCCAAACCTACTGCAAGGGAGACTAGGGAAAGTGACAGACTTTTAGTCAACTGAACAGTGGCAAAGGTCATGCCTTATCCCTAAAATATTTTGCATAATTTTCCAAACTTTCTTCCCCAACATCCAAAGCTAGAGGCAAAGGATTTCAAGTTGCTGAGGCCACAATGTGGAAGAACCTAGATTCTTTAGTCACTGCTTGGAGGAAAGCCCTTCTAGAGAGCTATCTCAAATTCTGAGTGGGTGAGAAACAAATTTTTATTCCAATCAGCTACTGAGATTTTGAGGCTAGCTGCTGTTGTTTGGTTGCTAAGTCATGCCCAACTCTTTGTGACCCCCATGAACTGCAGCACGCCAGGCTTGTGACAGCTGGTAATAATTACCTTGACAATACCTTACTCAAGCTGAATCTCTTTAGAGAAGGCTTCTCTTACCACCCAATCTAAAATTGCCACTCACCGCTCAATTCAAACTCTAGCCCTGTTTTATTCTTTAAAGAACTTTTGAGTCAGAGAGTCAAAGTCGCTCAGTTGGGTCTGACTCTGCAACACCATGGGTTGTAGCCCACCAGGTCCCCCATCCATGGAATTTTCCAGGCAAGAATACTATGGTGGTTTGCTATTCCCTTCTTCAGGGAGTCTTCCCGACCCAGGGATCAAACCCAGGTTTCCTACACTGCAGGCAGATTCCTTCCTGAGCCACCAGAAAAGCCCTTTAATTTTGAGGGTATTTAAATGTTTATTTACTTATTTTTTTAAGTTAATCTTTTCTCTCGTGATGAGAACTTTAAAGATCCATTCTCAGATGTCCCTGGTGGTACAGCGGATAAGAATCTGCCTGCCATCTACTGTAGAACACATGGAAATCTGCTCAATGTGATGTGGCAGGCTGGATGGGAGGGGAGGTTGGGGAAGAATGGATACATGAATGACTGAGTCCCTTTGCTGTTTACCTGAAACTATCACAACATGGTTAATCTACTACACCCCACTACAAAATAAAAAGTTAAAACAAACAAAAAAACAGAAGCCACCTGCCAACGCAGGAAACACGGGCTTTACCCCTGGTCCAGGAACATTCCACATGCTGCGGAGCAACCAAGCCCTTGTATCACAACTACTGGGTTCGCGTGCTGCAACTACTGAAGCCAGTACACCTAGAGCCTGTGCACTGCAACAAGAGAAGCCACTGCAGTGAGAAGTCTGCACACCAAAACTAGAGAATAGCTCCCCCTCTCCACAACTAGAGAAAGCCTGTGTGCAGCAACGAAGATCCAGCACAGCCAAAAAAATAAAAGATCCGTTCTCTTCCAATTTTCAAATATACACTACGGAATTATTAACTAAGGTTACCATGCAGTGAACTACATCCCTATGACTTCTTTATTTCATAACTAGATGTTTGTACCTTCCACCCACCACCTCTGGCAACCACCATGAGTTTGGTGTTTCTTTTAAGATTCCACATGTAAATGAGATCATACAGTATTTATCTTTTCTGGGTCTGACTTATTTCACTTGACTTGTTTAGTTTCTCTTTCCCATTAGAATGTTAAGTTCCCTGAAGGCAGGGACTCTATCGTACTCTCTCCTATATTCCCAAAGTCCAGAATAGCACCTGGCTCATTATTACTACCATAGGTAACATTTGTTAGGAGCTTGCAATGTGTAAATCTAAGTAATTCAGAAGTAGTACTGGATACTGGAATGACAGAAAGACTATAAATGTGCTTTGTGGTAAAAAAAAAAAAAATTAAGATAGAAGCCCAACTAAACAGGTTCTAAATAAGAGCTGTCAATAACCTGTAGTGCTACAAGTCAAAATACAAAAATGCTCTCCATGGAGATGTGCCTTCAATCCCAAGCTGTCCTACATTTGAAAAGTTCTAAGAACAGAGAAGATAAACAGTATCATTTATTAAGTTTTTTGTGCCAAAAACATGTGACGCAGACCCATGCGTAGGTAACCTGGACCTGAAAGCAAATTTGAGAGACAGAGCAGGAAAGAGCATCATGCCTGAACAGGAAGCTCTAGTGCTATAAAGCCTAAATGAGTGTTGTGAAACCTGGGAGGAGGGCTTCAGTGGCCATGACAGCTGCATCAGTAGCAGCAGGAGGCAGCAGGAAGTGGCTCAAGTTCAAGCTTCCCAAATCATCCAGGGAAGACAGCAACCCACCTGCAGAAGCCTTCTAACAAGTATGCCAGGTGAAAGTGAAAGTCTTAATCGTGAAAGTTAGTAGCTCAGTCATGTCTGACTCTTAGCGACCCCACGGACTGTAGCCTGCCAGACTCCTCTATTCACAAAATTCTCCCAGCAAGATACTGGAGTGGGTTACCATTTCCTTCTCCAGGGGATCTTCCCAACCCAAGGATTGAACCTGGGTCCCCTGTATTGCAGGCAGATTCTTTACTATCTCAGCCACCAAGGAAGCCCACAAATATGCCACTGTTGTTAAAGACAAGCAGAAACAAACCTGAAGAATACGAGTTTTCTGTTGATTATTTGTCATTCTTCTTGACTTGGTCCTTTCCACTTCGTGTCTATGAACCCATCCTCGAAGTTCATGATTTAACCTATAAAATAGCTTAATCAATTAAACATATTTCACAGAAACAGATGTTTCACTTTTGATTGGAAAGGAATTTAACCATGTTCTGAGGTTTCGAAGAGCATTCCAAACGCCTAATGATTCAATATTCTTTTGACTTAAAGCGAAGACATTTAATGTTAGTTGTTTTTAATGACTTGCATTTTTATATGGTAGTTTCCTCAATCATGAGATCAAAGTTCAAAGAAAATCATAGCTAAATACCTGCCAAACATAAATACTGAATGCAAAGGTTTTTCCACAAAAGAAGTATTTCTGTTTCTGCTCTGGGACTATGCACACACAAACACTGGAGATGCTGGAGAGCACAGAACAAGTCATAGGACTCCTAACCACAAACGGAGGCATCAAGGCCTCTGAAACTCTTGCTCATTTGGGAGAAGAAAAAGAATCAATCAACTGCTCAGGAAGAGAATTTTCAAGGTACTATAATCCAAATTTTCCAAAACGGAAAAAAAAATTTTTTTAAGCCCAGTTCAAATATAACTTCCCTTTATTTTGCTTACTTTTTAAAGCAGTTGTGGAGATGTCAGACTATACTTGCTTTTCTACAGCTGATTACTACATACCACACACACACAAAAAAACCTGAAGCAGTTTTTAAGGTGTGAATATAGGATCCAAAATTCACAGGAAAAAACAATTCAAGGAAGAGTAAATAAAGAAAAATACACTAATGTGAAAGTGATTCCAGAATCACATATCTTCAAATTATTACCTTCCTAATTTCAAGGAAAAGGTACCTTCCAACAGGAATGTTACCACCTGCAAATCTAACACTTACCCTGAATTTTTATATTAATGTCACTCTTTAGTTTTCAAATAAGACATATTTAAGCATACAACTCCAATATAATCACATAAAATAGACCCAATACCCCCTTCATCAGGTTGGTGGGGAAAGTGAACAATTGATATGCCTGCCTATGGTTATGCAAGAAATAATTCAGAGTTTTCTCAGCTACTTGGTTAATCTGAATTAATATTTTTCTAGGTTCCACAGCTAAGCACAGGAACCCACGAAGCTATATCTGCAACAGTTGACAACACTCACCTGAGAGATTCCGTTGTGTTTATCAGGGGCTGACAGGGAGGTGGAGGGATATAGAGTAATGGTTCTTCAGTTAGCACCATCAGGGCTTTGTCATTTGAAACAGAATGGTCATATCTGAAACATAAATGTACAAAATGTGTTGCCCTGTGTCTTATATTCCTAAGAAGAAGTGTGCTATAAGAAAGCCATTGCTAGTATTGTTTTCATGGAAATAAAAATATAAACAAGTACAGTCCTACTATACAGCAGAGAACTATATTCCATATCCTATGATAAATCATAATGGAAAAGAATGTTAAAAAGGAATCTGTGTGTGTACACACAGCAATAATTAACACAATACTGTAAATCAACTATACTTCTATACTTCAATAAAAACATTTTTGTAAATATTTTAAACAGAACATACTGCAAGTAAGAAGTGAATGCGATTTAAAATGGAGGGAAATATATACCATATAGCACAAACATCATTTTGCAATTTTCTACAGAGATTATCACAGTAGTTCACATTTACTGCCCAATTATTCAGTACTTAAAACTAGAGATGCAATGATAACACACAGTTCACGTCGTCAATGAACTCAAGGCACACTCAGTGATGCTGAACACAGGAGGTAACACAGGAAGAAGCAAAACTGGGGGAAGACCCACTGATGGACAGAAAAGACTTCTGATTGACAGTGAAGTGTTACGTAACCAGGACTGAAGTTTGTGCTCACTCTCAACACTGTGATAAGAGAACTGAATAGTCTCCTTAAAAGAGTGTCTGTGTATATCCCAATATTCATTACAGCACCATTTGCAATAGCCAGGACATGGAAGCAACCTAGATGTCCACTGACAGGTGAACAGACAAAGAAGCTGCAGCACATATATATAATAGAATGTTACTCAGCCAGAAAAAGGAACACGTTTGGGTCAGTCCTAGTGAAATGGATAAATCCAGAGCCTGTTATACAGTGACGTAAGTCAGAAATAGAAAAATAAATATCATGTATTAACGTAGATGTACGGAATCTAGAAAAAACAGTACTGATGAAAGTATTTACAGGGTAGGAACAGAGACTCAGACGTAGAAAACAGACTCTGGACACAGCGGGGGAAGGAGAGGATAGGACACATTGAGACAGTAGCCCTGAAACATATGCAGTACAATATGTGAAACAGATGGCTAATGGGAAGCTGCTGCGAAACACAGGGAGCTCAACACGGTACTCGGACAGTCCGGAAGGGTGGGACAGGCTGGAGGAGGAGGTTCAAGTGGGAGGGACATATATATACTTATGGCTGATTCATGCTGTTGTATGGAAGAAACCAACACAATATTGTAAAACAATTATCCTCAAATTAAAAATAATTTTTTAAAAAATATCTGTGTGTGGTAGGAGAAGGAAAAGCATAAAATACTTGGCAGGAGAAAAGTAAAAGCCTTGAAAAGTTAAATATTAGAATCATGGAAGAATCCCTAATAAAACACCTGGCTGACATTAACCAGTTATTCCATTAGCTTTAAAAAATATACTTTCCTAATCATCACAGTGATCTATATCATGTGAATTCATATCCAGAGTGTGATGTAGTGAACAAAATGTGGGTTGAAAATCCTAATCAGATCCTAATCTGAGTTGAGGATATTATTGCTATTTATTCCCATCAATCCGCTATTTTAACCTTTCTTACTAAGAAATCTGAATTCTGTCTTGAATTTCTTTATATACAATACTCTAGATTTAGAAAACTAGATTTATTAAAGTTCAAAAAGAAAAACAGAAAATTGGACATGGCTAGATTTGTGCTTTTCAATCAACAATAGATATTTATTGAATACCAACTATGTGCCAGATACTGTGCTAGGTGATGGAATTCCAACAGGGAACAGGGAGTCCAATCCTCCATGATCTTGATGGAGAAGATGGACCAAATACAAGAATGCAAACACAGAATAAAACCAAACTGAGGTAAGAGCTATGAAAAAAAATATGGTTGAGACAGAAAACCAAATGACAATGTCTACTTCAGATAAAATGGTCTGAGAAGGAGATGGTATTTAAGACAAGGCGTAAAGGATGACAAAAAGCCAAATCTATAAAAACTGGGGGAAGAGTTCTAGATAGAGGCAGGTGGGAAAAGGGAGGCTTTATGGAACTTAAGGAAAACTCACCAGCTGAAAAGTTGTAAGCAAGTGAGGGGAGGCACCAGATGTTTGGAAAGACGGAGACCAATCATGATAAGGAATTACTAAATGTAATAAGAAGCCACAAAAAGGTGTGTTAGGTAGAGAAGTGATATATTTTTAATTTATATGTATCCCTTGCTATTGTATCAAAATCAGTTTTGATGGAGGCAAAAGGGGAAGCTGGGAGACCCGTTAGAGTGGAAGACCACTCTGCCTTGCACTTGGTAAATTCTCTCTGTTAGGAGAGATCAATAGCAATCTGGGCAAGAGGTGCAGCTACTATGAACTAAGGTGGTGGCAGTGAAGATAAAAAAAAAATGAACCAATTCAAGATAATATTTGGAAAGAACATCAACAGCACTTGTTGAAAGGGAGGAACCAGGGTTTCTGGCTTGAGCAACAGAAATAAAGAAGTGTACTATACAGAAGTGGGTGAAACTAGAATATGGAAAAGGACTTAGAGTTTCACTGTGCAGGTGTTAAGTTTGAAATGTTAAGAGAAGTGAAGGAACTACTGGATATATGACTTTGGAGACTCAGAAGTCTGGACAGGAAACGAAAGAGAGTCATCAGGATATACAGAAATGGACTGTGTGCTAAATTATGGCATAAAGAAAACAAAAAAGTTAACAGTTCTATACTTTAGGATTTGGATAGAAGAGGAGCCTACAGAAATGAAGCAGAGCCCATGAAAAAAGAGGAAACAAAAATGCAGCAATACTAAAGGAGAAGACTTCAAGAAGGAGTGATCTATACAAATCCTGAGGAAAGATCAAGATAGAGATAAGTTTTCACTGGATTTGACAATGCTGAAATCACTGGCCACCTTGACAAAAATAATTTTTGCAGTGTGGAAAACTAACTTTAGATAAAACTTAAAGACTTCTAGGTATGCCACATAAAAGGGTGAAAAAGCAACAGCAGAGGGCATATACACCACTTTTCCCTGCAGCTGCACCAGAAACATTCTTGATGCCCTTTCTTCTGCCTACTGGCGTTGTTATTCAGAATAAAACAGAGATGGTGGTACACAGGTAATGAACGCACACACGAAAGGAAATCAGCTTAAATTAACTGCTGAGGGAGAAGAAAAAAACTCTGCCTTGCACTTGGTAAATTCTGAATGCTTTTAAGAAACCAGAGACTGTTGGCCACACTAAAACAAAAACAAAAACAAAAAATAACCAAAAAAAAAAAAACCACCTACAAAGACCAAAGATCTTTATATATGCGTTATTTTAAAATCAGGTCTGAATACTCACAAAAATACAAACACTGAAGTCAAGTCCATCAAAAAAGTCTAGAACTACTTTTGAAACTACAAATCTGATTTATAATTTTATTTCCATGTGACAAACTCTAGTAATGATTTCTGCACATCTGTGCTGACTGGCTTTGTTCTATCAGCCAAATATATTCTTTGGAAAAGGAAACAAAAAATCTGATAGGAGAAATATTGTATCAGGAAAGGGACTAGGTGGAACTGCAGGGGAAAGAAAAGGGAGAACCTAAGCCAACATGCAATCTGGAGACAATGATATCCACATTACTCCTGAGATGGTCAGAGTTCCAGACTGCCTGCAAACCATTCCATACCAATAGAAAAAAGTTCAATAAATAAAACACTGAAATAAAGGGCAGTATTAAGGAGCTACAGCTAATGAGAATTCCTGGAATAAATACAGGTTCTAGCTGATGCCTTAGAAGTTGAGTGACTATCCTTTTCCCCTCATCCAGCACAGTCCTGATTTATACCTGACATCCTGACATAATTACTACACTAGGACACTAGTACTAGTAGCTGAAGCTCCAGTACTTTGACCACCTGGTGCAAAGAAGTGACTCATTAGAAGAAAAGACCCTGATGCTGGCAAAGATTGAGGGCAGGAGGAGAAGGGGACGACAGAGGATGAGACGGTTGGATAGCATCACCAACTCGATGGACATGAGTTTGAGCAAGCTCCAGGAGCTGGTGATGGACAGGGAGGCCTGGTGTGCTGCAGTCCACAGGGTCGCAGAGTCCGACACGACTGAATGACTGAACTGATGGACTGACGCTAGTACTACCTTTCATTATTAAAAGTCTCTCAGTTTGGTCGACAGATTATATGGTCATCTTATATACCACACATTTCTAAGACTGAAAAAATATTTGCAGTTAATTATTAAATGATAGACAAATGTAATACTACAAATTACGAGATTAGAATCTACTCCTTTTTTATTTGAACCAGTTCTCATAACTCTCCTGAAAAAATGAAAGATAACACAAAGTAAGCTACATTAAAAAACACACACACAAATGTTATGGCTGAGTATAAATAAACCACCTAAAAATCAGTTTAAAACAAATTCATACTTGGCGCTTTCAAATGTTTCACAAACATTTTTTGGTATCTCTTATTTAGTATATAAAGTAATAAAAGAAAGAATATCAAATTATTGGGCTAACACCGAAATCTACCAAACGGCTCAGTAATAATCTTGGGTACTTCGATAGAGACTTGCACACAATCAAGAATCAATAATCATTTCCATTTTTTATTAAGACCAGTAACCTATTAATAGCTTATGCACAAGCAATGGAGGCTCTGGGTCAGGGACAGAGAGATGGCTTGCACTTCATGCATTATTTTGAAAGCTGATAAATTACAGCCTAAAAATCATTCAGACCTCTAGTTAGAGCTAATATGATCAAAGGACTGTGCTTTCCAGGAACCACCATATTATCTTACTCTAACGTGGACAAGTAACTGAAGGCTTTTATTTATTGTAGTTAGTGAAAAATAAGAAATATTTTTATAAAGCTTACCTGAACAGTAATTTCAGGTGTCTGATTCCATTCTATTTTTAGCAACAAGCTATATAACTTAAGAGGCATACTCTCAACTCTCATAAATCCAAAGGCTACCTATGAAAAATGTAACTTTTGCTGGATCTTACATAGACAACAACAGAACTCAACATTACAGGATATACAGGGCTAACTTGCAAAAATTATTTAGTAAATTAAAAATACTATTACTATTAAACTCCAGTAATACTCAGGGAGAAGCTTATATGATCACTAAGATCAGTATTTCAGAAGTATGGCTAATTTGGGCATGTAAAAAAAAGGCAGGAAATGTTAGGTTTTCCAACATCTATCACATTCTATGTTATATTACAGTTACTACCATATATTCTCTGGATCATCTGCCATATTTAGCACAGTATTTTGCATACTGCAGATTCTTAGAAAAAGTGAATACTAGCATTTTTTTCCAGGAAGACTAAATGAAGACAAGCCTGAAGGATTATGGTAATGCTCTCATTAAGTGGTATGGGTGTAACAGTAAAAATCAGAAGAGTGATTCCCCTATGGCCTTTGGCCTGTAAAACCTTAGAGAGTTAAGAGTAACAGAATCTTTAATGATTTCCAAGCATTATTCTGTGCCATGGTTGCCACACTATAACCTCCCTTTGCCTTGTAACTCAAGGATCTAGCTCCACTTGACTCTAATAAAAATTATAAATCACACAGGGAAATGTTTATCAAAAACACTTCTAAAAAGGGCCACTATAACCTTCTTCTACTTGACATAAGGTAAAAATTATATTTTCATAAGCTGTCTTAACTATTTCCAAGCTATATGGAAATTTATGAAGATAGAATTAAATTATAACCAGAAAAAGAAATTCAATAAAAATCACAATAAACAAGTATAAATGATTTTATCTAATAACTGCAAATGGGTTCAGCCATATCATTCCACCAAATCATATCCATCACAGATGATATAGTAACAAATATTACACTACATATATAAATATATGACAGTAAAATAACTATATTAAAGACACTACAAACAATATACCATGTGTAATATATAATGATTGTGTTTCAATGTGTATATTAGTGTACACAAACTGAGATTTTAAGTTCACAGTTCTACAAGAATTCTAAAACTTGGACAGTTTTTAAAAAGGAAATTTACCCTTAGAACTGATCTTTGTAAAATTTACGAACATCCTTGTAACTTGTTTGCTCTACTAGTTGAAATTGTGTATAAACAATTCAGATATAAATCTAACCTGTAGCTGTTTTTCTGGATGATATCATCTGATGTGTCTTGCTCCTCTTTAGCAGAAAATCCTAGAAGATGCCTCCTTTGATTTGTAGGGTTCACATTAGGATTCATTCTCTTGGAATCTTGTTCCAACATGCTGAAAATGTTAAAATGTTAGCAAATAATTGAAAAAAAAATTTGTCATACATATGCATACTACATGTCGCTCTGAAGCAAATCACAATTCTGTACACACAGCAAGAATACTAGGTATAGAGGCAAGTCAAACAGCTTACTGATATGGTCAAATCCCTAGCTTGGCTTCCTGTACATACATGAAAATAAATTTTGAAAATAATTTTTCTAACTATAGAAGTACATTATTTATAAACTGTTTTAAAAAGTCAGTATTCTATATGCTTTAAACTATGAATATATCCCTGGAGAAGGAAATGGCAACCCGCTCCAGTATTCTTGCCTGGAGAATTCCATGGACAAAGGAGCCTGGGGGGCACACTCCATGGGGTCGCAAAGAGTTGGACACAACTGAGTGACTTAGCATGTGAATATATACATCCATATAAAGTAAAAATAGGTAAATGTACATATAAACAAATTCTAAACTCAGATAATAACTAGAATAAGAAGTCTTCCTTGATGTTTCAGACTGATGTTTTCAAAAAAGAAATACTTCAAATGAAACAGGAATTATTCTCTTTATCAACAATCAAATTCACTAGATTTTTACCATCCCAGAAAGCAGGCTATCAAAGTTAACAGAAATTTTTAAAATGTTTATTTACTCCTTTCTCTTCACTTTCCCTAAATCTTTCTTTATGTATCTGGGGCAAATATATATATATATACACACACACACATATATATATGTGTGTGTGTGTATATATATATATAATCTCTCAAATATTGCAATAGTTATTTAACACTTTTAATTAACTAATCAAGGGCTTAGAAATTTGGCTCATTGATATGATATCTTGTGGGTTTAATTTTACAGTGCCACACATATACTAGTCAAAAAAATCTTTCTGAAATTCAACACAAAGGGAATTTCCCTAGGGAAGCACAAAAGAAGGGATACCAGATTCTATTTAGAGGGATGAAGTGAAGGAAGCAAATAAGGCTGATGAGAGGGTCACAGTTTAAGGGCCCTGAGATTCTAAGAGAAAAGGAGTTCTTTAGGGTGTAGTACTTTGCCTCCAAATTTGGAGAAAGGGATGTTGGGTGGAAGGAAAAAGCATGCACATCACTCTAGAATCTTTTTCTGATATCTTGTCATATTCCCCATTCTCTTCAATTCTTCATTCCTAGAGTCACCATCACCCAGTGTCTCTCACATGGTGTGCTGTGGCACGCAGGCATACTACAGACTCTTCGGAGGTGTACCACCAAAGATGGTCAGGGTGTAAAATCTAATTTTGCTACAAGTGAGGCTCCATTTTGTTACAACTGTATCTTTCAGAAAGAATGTTCACCTGAGAGGTCAGGAACAGTATAAACCCTGCTACAAGTGAGATAAAAGGCTGTGGAATATCCAACTCAACTTACGAAAACTTACCCTAGGGAGTACTTTAGAAAACACGAGATAAGCAATAAACAAAAGCAATTTTGTAGGGAAGCCAAATGAAGAGTGTGATGATAACTGTAGAATGTATTTTTTCTTTTCGAACCTTACATTTTTGAAAAGGGTTCACCTTTGAATCCTTTCAAGGGTGATGCCAAAAATTCTACTTAGGAAAGTAAGCCTAAACAAAATCAAAGGTAAAAACATCCCCCCTAGGACTTCCCTGGTGGCTCAGTGGTAAAGAATCCGCCTGCTACACTGGAGACACAGGTTCAAGCCCTGATCCATGAACATCCCACACGCTGCAGAGCAACTAAGCCCAGGCACCACATCTACTGAGCCAGGTACTGAAGCCCGGGCACCTGAGAGCCCATGCTCCACAACTAGAGAGGAGCCTCCGCTCTCTGCAACTAGGGAAAAGCCCGCCCAGCAACAGAGACCCAGCACAGCCAAAAATAAACAAGTAAATAAAACTATTTTTTAAAAAAGAACTTACCCCAGTTTACAGAATTAATTCACCTCCTGTCAACCTACCTCTCCACTGCATCTGTGAAATATCCACATAATAACATTCCTGTTTGGTGGAAGTACTCCGTCAATTTCACCAGTGACTAGGAGAAACTCTACCACTGTAACTATTTAATTGCGTCTGAAGCCCACTCACATTTTATTTCTACTGGATTAAGTGTTGAGCTAAAAGCTCCTAGGAAGGAACAGGGTTTGGGAGAGGAGCAAATTCTGGGTGTCCCTCCCTGCAATTCACTTCAAAGTACCACTGGTCTTGGTACAAGTTCTAGACTCCGTGGCTATTCAGAACATACCTAATAAGCAAGCCTTCTTTCAATATCCAAAGAAACCTAACATCCCTCAGCTCTCACTTCAGGCTTTCTCTTTCATGGCTATAGTTTCTTCCACGTGTTCCTCTTTATAGTACAGTCTTAGGTTCCTTCAGCGTATTTGGTCACTCCCCTCTCAGTATGCTTCTCAGAGATGATGTCCAGAACTGGCCACAGCACTTCTCAGGTGGTATGACCATTACAGGACGGAACAGGGTAATTCCTTCCCATGTTCTAAATATTATTCTTCCACCAATGCAGCCTAATATCACACAGGCTTTTTTGGCAGTTACATCAGACTCTATATTGAAGTTGGCTTAATTAAAATTCCAAGTCTTCTCACAAACTGACTGGACTACTACCCTCCCTTCCCTTCTTCTCCCACTTCCAATTTAGAATTTATACAATTGAGCTTTGTGATCCAGCTGAATAATTACATGAATTCCCTTTAAAATATCATTCAAGAACCTTTCCGATCCTAATTAGCAACAGAAATTCTCCTTCAAAGCAAGCAACAACATGACATCAACATCCTCAGCTGAGCTGTTGAGGACAGAGAAGAGAAACTGAGCCCTGGAGCATGCTCCTAGGGAGCACCTTCTAAGTTTGTAAAAACCTAAGTTAAAACACTTTTGAATTAACCATAGTATCTCCTAGTCCAAAATCCCTGTCTTAACCATAGGGATATTACAACACTGGTAAACATTCTCCTAAGATGCAAATGCCGTGTAACAGCAGCTACCATTTTCTGAGCACCTTCTATGTACTAAGGAATGAAAGCTCAAAGAAAGTTGAGGCTCAAAGAGTTTAAAGTTTGCCGAAGGTCATGCTGTGATACGGTGATTTACAAAAAGAAATATATATTTGGTGGCAACATTTTCCTGGCCCAGAGCTCCTAACATCCTTGTGAATTTCCCAAGTCATGAGAGCCATAAAGGTGCCATTTGCTGTTAATGACGTGACACTGAAAGGCCTTTAGGTTGTCTAAGGATGGGGGTTAGTCCCCAGAGGGATCAGTCATAGACTACAGAGTTTGAACTTTCAGTCCCAACTCGCACCCCCACCTCCAGGAAAGGGAAAAGGACTAGAGACTAGGTTCAATCACCAATCGCCAAATGACCTAATCAACCATGTTTCTGTCATGAAGCCTCCATAAAAACCCAAAGCAAAGGGATTCAGGAGCATCTCGGTTGGTAAAGATTCAGAGACAGTGGTGAGCTTGAAGAGGGCATGGAAGCTCCCTGTCCATTCCCCCATACCTTGCCCCATGCAGCTCTTCCACTTAACTGTTCCTGAGTTATATCCTTTAATGATAAACTGGTATTCTAGCAAGCAAAATGTTTCTCTGAATTCTGTGAGCCACTCCAGCAAACAAACAGGAACCCGAGGATTGTGGGATCCTCTGATCTATAGCTTGTTAGCCAGAAGCCCAGGTGACAACATGGATTTGCAGTTGATGTCTGAAGGGGGGCAGGGTAACTCTTGTAGGACTGAGCCCTTAACCTATGGAATCTGACCATATCTCCACACTGGCTGCATCAGAATTAAGCTGAACTGTAGGACACCCAGCTGGTGTCGGAGAATTGCTTGGTGGTATGGGGAAAACCTCTCCATACATTGGAACCAGATGATCAGAACCCTTAGGAGAACTGTTTGGCGGTGTGAAAAAACACACATTGGAATTGGTGTCAGAAATGTACATGCTCCATGTACATTAATGAAGCCAGGATTTGGGTCCAGGATTAGAACATCATCATTGCCTTATGTTGACAACATTTCCCAGAATGACTGATTGATTCACTCATTTATTCAACATGTTGTAGACACCTATTACGTTCCAGGAGTCATATTTGATACTAAAGACTCAAAGATAAAACCGAATATAGTGTGTATAAGTGTGTGTGTGTGTGTGTGTGTGTGTGTGTGTGTATGTTGGAGGGGGGATACAGACAAATGATAATAGAGGGATTAGCAGCATAATAGCAGTTAATGCCAAATGTTACAGAAGCATATAGCTAGGGCATTTGATCTTTACCAAGAAGATCATAAAGTTATCTTAAACGACAAGCAGTAAATAAACAGGTGGAAAAGGAGGATGGGACTGAGAAAAGGCATTTCATGCAGACTAATATGAAAAAGGATACAGTCACAGGAGGGTATGATTTGCTTGAGAAATTACAAGTAAAGCAGGAGAGGGTATATGGGTGGACATGCACATGTATAAGCACAGTGGGAAAGGGACCATCTCAAAGAGAGAAGGGAAAGAGACGAGACTAAAAGCAATGCAAGGCTAGATTATTTATGGGTGGCCTTGCCTGCCACACTATCAATAAGTTTAGCAATTTATTCAATAAAAGCAAAACTGGTATGTTTTATTCTTGTTTTAATTTTGGTTCCTAGTTATCATATCCCTTTCTATATCAACATCTTCCATGTGATTAATGCTAAATTCCCCAGTATAATGGGGGAAATCTAACTTCTTTCTTTTAAAAACTGATATTCCATTTGCCCCCTACCCATCTAGACTACTTGGTGATTACCACTGCCAGAAAAACAGCAGAACACTAGGACAGTTCCTCTGCTTTATCTATTTCCTGGCTAGGGATCTTAAAGCTGTTTGCGAGGCTCTCATAGCTAAGTGCCAAGTTACAGAGGCTGCTATGGCTTCTAGGAGTGGCTTTAACATTTTCCCTTCCTTGAATCCTACTATCAACTAGCAATGGACACAGTCAGCTCTGG